AATCTGAAATTTTATATTTAAATTTTATATTTGATCATTTAATTTACTAAATTAATTAATTTTAAGTTATTTCAATTATTGGTCGATTACGATCGTGTTTTTTGAATTATGAATTTATATTAAATTATTTTTTAATTAAAAATATTTTTATTTTAAATGAATAATATAAATATAATGAATCTTTGTTTATCTTAAAAATATGACATGTATAAATTTAACAATAATTTTTATAATAAATAATTAAATTTTAACAAAATAATTTCATATTAAAAATAAAATTTAAAATATATTTATTAATATATAAATTCAATTTTTTACTAACCCTACTCAACTGTTATTTTGTGTGAGATTAGGATTAGATTGAACCTGACAAGACAGATTTGGCTTCAAGAGATGGAATGTTCAATCAATCACCAATTTATTACCAAACTTTCAAAATATTTGGTCAACATCAGTGTTCCGGCTTTTTTATTCCTTATTTTTTTCAAAATAAGACATATTTAAAACAACACTTTCTAATAAGATTACATTTGAAGTATGATAAGAAATATAACATGACACATATACAAACAAAGTTATAAACATATTTCACGTTTTCAATTTCCATAACAACACCTTTCCAAGTGTTAGGTTTGTACATGTGCAATGTTTGTTTCAATTATTATATATGTCTTCTTATAAATATCTTCTTATATATGCCTGTTTACAGAACATTCCTCTTATAAATATCTCTTCACCTATTGAGGTCTAAAGTCAAGAAATTTTACCTTTTTAACAAAAATTATACGAATTTAATTAGAATGTAATTCTAAAGTACTAATATACAAGTGAAAAATACGTAAATGGTAACATCTTAAATTTGTAATGCAATGTTTTTATATAATATTTTACTTATATTATTACATATTGTAGATGTTTTATTAATTTGAAATGTTTAACATATTATATAATTGAAGTAGCATCAACCAGTCATTTAATCAGTGTAAAATATTTGCAAGCTTTTTTTTCTTTGTACATGAGAGATAAGAAAGAGATGGCAATCTTATCTCTTCATCATGACTGAGGAAAAAAAATGAAGTTATACATAAATAATTACCATTTTTGTCTTTAATTCATGCCTTAATAAACATACATGAGCAATAATAATGTAGAAAATAAGAATTATGAATAAATATAACTTTTTTTTTTGTCTAAATGGTGCTAAAATAAGTTGACAACAGAGTGATTTTTACAATAAGATGAAAAGATTTTCGAAAAATAATTAAAGTTTTTAAAGACTAGGTTTTGTAAGTTTTTAAAGCGTATATAATTTTTTTTAAATCATTTGATGTTTTAAACGATTTTATGTAATTTAATAAAATAATAGGAGGTCAGTCATTTTATTTTTAAGAATTTAATGATATTATCATGAATCTTATTTATCATCACCTAATATATATTGAAGTTTAAAAAATGAAAATTGTGTGTTAATTTTTAATTATTATTAGTTTAATTTTTATTCTTTGTGTCATTTTATTCAAGTGATATATTATAATTTTTATTAGCTTATGTATTTTTTTATTAAAATTAAAACGATGGAAATAAAGATACATTTAAAATATTTTTTAATTTGAATATTTGTTTTATTTGTAGAATTTTTTAAAAATATTTTTAAATTTTATCAACTTTATTTTATTAATATCTAAAAATTTAATTAATGGTTTGCTTATAATACAACTTTATTTGGTACTCTACTTTCATTACAAGTATACTCAAATTCGCACCTACTTTGTGGTGTCATTTTTAACTAGGATGTCTATAATATTAGTTTTTTATTTTTGGTATTTTACATCTAAAATAAATTATACCTAAAATATTTTTGGTACATATAATACACAAGTTTATTACATAATAATTTATAATTGAATAATCATATATAAAATTTGTACATATCGTGAAATTATTCATCACAATCATATGCCTATGCCAATATATATATATACGTATGTACAATTATATATAAATAAAGTGAAATACAGTCTACAAAATTGTTATTGAAGAAAAAGCAAGGAGGAGAGCACGATTACATAAGATGCGTTGATTTGAGATACACGAGAGCAGGAATATATACAATTCACATTCTGCCGCAGATTAATCCAAACACTGTGACAAAAGCCATTACTAGAGAATGATCAATTCCACCTTCAACATCCAACGTTAGAACATCACTGCCCAGTATCACTCCCGAGGTCGAGTGCTTTTGCTTCGCCTGCACATCATTCTCAAATTCTCAACATCAAACATAAACCAAAACAAAAAAGAACAACGACAACAAATCTTACATGGGCAACTATGTCTCCATCATCTGTGTTGACAATCCGAAACGCTGTTTTGGCACCGATTTTCTCTATGCAGTACTTCTGACACTCCACCGTACTAATCTGGCACGTCAATTTTCCTGTCATCATCTCATGGCATCTTTTAACATGAAACCAAGGCTTTTCCTGGTTTTCACTGTTACTACTGTCATGGCTATTTCTGGACACATCCCAACGTCCAAAACCGAACAGTCTCTGCCAAGTTTCAGATCAAAACAAGTTTAACCCAAACCGACAATTTATCCACACAACATAACATTATCACATACCTTGTGTATGGTGCAGAGGACTCTTCCTCGGAGATCCAAAAGGTTAACGTCTCTTCTACCCTTTGTGTCGTAGTTATCAACGCGATAAACGATGAGACCGTTGGAATCGTAGACGGTGCAACCGTTAGAGTTGAAAACGAGTGATTTCATCCAGAGGGTATATGTGTGTGGTCCGTAGGAGGGGCAGGAAGAGAAAGTGGGTTCCTCCTGATCAGGGTAAACCTTCGCCATTTGAGCCGAATCAGAAGGAAAGAGAATGCAAGAAGAAGGAGTGGTTGATTTGAAGTTGAAGGCTTGAACCACTATTATATTCCAATTCATTATCAGCTAGGTCAAACACTCAAACCACCTTTTCACTGTACTCTCCCACACAAAAAATAATAAGTACTTTTCACTTTTCTCAATAATATAATTCTAAATATAGCAGAAAGTGTACATGTCATCATTTAATGAGTGACACTTGAAAAAAATAAAGAAAAGTATTCCGTTGAAAACAGCCTAACGTGATTAATTAATTAATTAATTAATCACTTTTTACTAAATTATTATAATACAACAGTTCGTGGATAACAATTAAACGTGGAAACTGGTTGAATATTTTTCTTCAATTGTTTTGAAAAATTCAAGACTTACTCAAACCATGTTATTTGAAATAAATTCGACGTGGGAACCGCTCTCTGTGAGAATTCAGTAACACTTACTGATATTGATGCATTTACGTATTAGTTGACTTGGATTGCATACTTAATAAAAGTATTCTTTTAAATTATTTAACTTTATAATCTGCTTAAATTTTGTTTCACATTAAATATATTGGATTATATATTTAATGTGAAATACATTAATAGTTCAATATAGTGAAACTTTATTGTGTAAAAATAAACTAGATATATAAATTATGAAAATTACCATTATTGGTACTGAAAACGCGAAACTCGGTTGGAAATAGATATGTTGGACATTATACACAGCTCGATCTTACATGTTTATATGATGTAGATATATTTCTATAAACAAATATAGTTTTCAGATTTAAGTTGACTTTCATATGCTAATTCATTAAAAAATATGACATGGATTTATAAATTTGAATTTTTATGGGAATCAACATTCTTCAATTTTATAAAAGGTAAATAATTTACAAAAAAAAAGTAAAAACTTATATGCCCTTTTAATAAATTACTAAAAATTGATTTAATAATAGAAAAATATTATTTATAGATATTTAAAATAGACAAGTTTGTTAGATTTTTGAATTGTAAAAAAATTAAATATTTTTAATTAACGTTGTTATAAAATTTGTAGTCTAATTTATTTATAAAATTTTAGCGTGAGTCTATAGTATGCATTTATGTAAATAAGACTTTTAACAATAATTACAATAAATTTTCAATAATGACTTTATATTGTTCATTAGTATATGCATTATTGAAAAAGACGCTTGACTTATAATTTTGAATTAATGTTATATCTCAATATGTGAAGAAAATTTTAATAGCAATTCTCATTGTATATATGAGATACAATAAGAATTTTACAATATTTATTATATGTATTATCAGTTTCTGTTTTTAATTTGTAACAATATTTAACAACATGGACAACTATTATCAAAAGTAGCAGATCATTTATGGTAAAACTCATCTTCAAATCTGTTCTTGTTTTAAATGTTAATTTTTATTATTGTTAAATATATTTTTAGTTTCTATATTTTTTAAAAAAATTAAAATTAATTTTTGTCTCAAAAATCGAATTGAGTTATTAAATTTTAAAATATTTAAAATGAAATAAATATAATCATCATAATATAAAATCATATGTAAAATAATATTTTAGATTGGTGTTTGATGTGTTTATATTATTTAATATACTTTCACTCAAATATCAATTAGAAATACATTTAATAAATAAAAATAAATGAAAGCCATTGGTTTAAAAAACTATTAAAGAAAGATTTGGTTTGATTTATATTTTTTAAAAATAATAGTTTAACGTCCTAAAGAATATTCTATTAATAACCTACCTTAATAATATATATATATATATATATATATATATATATATATATACATACATGTATATATGTATATATACATACATGTATATATGTATATATACATACATGTATATATGTATATATACATATATATATCTATGTACATACATGTATATATGTATGTATATATGTATATATATGTATATATATGTATATATGTATATATATGTATATATGTAGATATATGTATATATGTATATATGTATAATATAGTCTGTATGTATATCTATGTCTATACATGTCTCTCTCTGTCTATCTGCGATCTCTGTCCTCGCTATCTCTATCTGTCTCTCTGTCTCTGTCATGTCTCTCTGTATTCTATCTCTGTCTCGCTGTCTCTGTCTGTATATCTGTATATTTCTTGTCCTTGTCTATGTATGTCTCTATGTCTCTGTCTGTTATCTCGTCTCTGTCTGTCTCTCTGGTTCTGTCTGTCTCTCGGTCTCCCTTCTGTCTCTTCTGTCTCTTTCCTGTCTTCTGTCTCCTTTCTGTCTCTCTGTATCTGTCTAGTCTCCTCTGTCTCTGTCTGTTCCTCTCTGTCTCTGTCTTTCTCTCTGTCTCGTCCTGTCTCGCTGTCTCTGTCTGTCTCTCTGTCTCTGTCTGTCTCTCTGTCCTGTCTGTCTCTCTGTCTCTGTCGTCTCTCTTTCTCTGTCTTTCTCTCGTATTGTCTGTCTCTCGTCTCATGTCTGTCTCTCTGTCTCTGTCTGTGCTCTGGTCTCTGTCTGTCCTCTCTGTCTCCTGTCTGGGATCTCTCTGTCTCTGTCTGTCTCTCTGTCTTGTCTGTCTACGCTGATCTCTTCTGTCTCTCTGTCTCTGTCTGTCTCTCTGTCTCTGTCTGTCTCTATTCTCTGTCTGTCTCTCATGATCTCTGTCGTCTCTCTGTCTCTGTCTGTCTCTCGTCTCTTCTGTCCTCTGTCTCTGTCTGTCTCTCTGTTCTGTCCGTCTCTCTGCTCTCTGTCTGTCTCTCTGTCTCATCTCTGTCTCCGTGTCTCTGTCTGTCTCCTCTTTCTCTGTCTGTCTCTCTAGTCTCTGCTGTCTCCTCTGTCTCTGTCTGTCTCTCTTCTCTGTCTGTCCCTGTCTCTGTCTGTCTCTCTAGTCTCTGTCTGTCTCTCTGTCTCTGTCCTGTCCATCTCTGTCTCTGTCTGTTCTCTCTGTCTCTGTTCTGTCTCTCTGTCTCTGTCTGTCTCTCTGTCTCTGTCTGTCTCTCTGTCTCTGTCTGTCTCTCTGCTCCTCTGTCTTTCTCGTCTGTCTCTGTCATAGTCGCTCTGTCTCTGTCTGTCTATCATTCTCGTCTCTTGTCCTGTCTCTCTTTCTCTCGTCCTGTCTCTCTGTCTCTGTCTGTCTCTCTGTCTCACTTCTGTTCTCTGTCTCTATTCTGTCTCTCTGTCTCTGTCTGTCTCTCTGTCTCTGTCTGTCCTCTCTGTCCTCTGTCTGTCTCTCTTTCTCTGTCTTCTCCTCGTCTCTGTCTGTCTCTCTGTCTCTGTCCTTGTCTCTACTGGCTCTGTCTTGTCTCTCTGTTCGCTGTCTGTCTCTCTGTCTCTGTCTGTCTCTCTGCTCTGCTCGTCCTCTCTGTCTCCGGTCGTCTCTCTGTACTGTCTGGCTCTACTGTCTATGTCTTTCTCTCTGTCTCTGTCTTTCTCTCTGTCTCTGTCTGTCCTCTCTGTCTCTGTCTGTCTCTCTGTCTCTTTCCTGCCTCTCTGTCTCTGTCTGTTCTCTGTCTCTGTCTGTCCTTTTCTCCTGTCCGTGTCTCTCTGTCTTGTCTGTCTCTCTGTCTCTGTCTGTCTCCTCATGTCTCTGTCCTGTCTCTACTTCTCTGTCTGTCTCTCTTTCTCTGTCTGTCCTCTGTCTCGGTCTGTCTCTCTGTCTCTGTCTGTCTCATCTGTTCTCATGTCCTCTCTCTCTCTTTCTCTGTCGCTATCTCTCTTCTCTGTCGCTCTCTCTCCTCTCCTGTCTCTCTCTCTCTTTCTCTCTGTCTCTCCCCACCTTCTCTCTCTCTCTTCTCCTTTTCCGTGTTTCCTCTCCCCGCTCCTGGCCCGCCGCTGGTCCTCTAGACAAATGAACTTAGCGGACAAACGTTAACCGCTCGGTAAAATGGGCTCGCAACCAACCGAACGATAAAGGGGCAAAAGAATCGACAAACCGATGATACCTCTCAGGTCAATAAATGTTTAAAGAGCCGTTAAGGTAATCAATAGTAATAATTGTCAGGGAGTTAATTAAAATAATTGTCATTTATTGACAATTAATAATCTCATTCATGGGTGATTAATGAGTCAGACGTACGGTAAGCTTATTATAATTTATAAATAGAAGACAGGTAACTTTAACTTGAACTTCTGAAACTTAGAGCTCTGATAACTAAATCCTCGTTACAAGATTATTACGCAAAGTCACTGACTTGAGCGTCGGAGTGTCTTTTGCAGGCACCCTCCCCCGCGGCTTGGACAAAGAGAAGAGAGAAGACATTACAACTGGACATCAGAGCAGACAACTTTAAATGTTTTGGATTAAGGTTCTAAATCCTGCCGAAACAAAGTGAATGTATTCTAGGTGTCTATCGTATCATCACTACTATATTTAAGACATACTATAATCACTAATCAAGTATTTCTTTTAAAATAATAATATCTCTGCATGTGTTTTCCCCTCTATTTTACATATATTTTGATTTTCTACCACAAATCACATCACATACCATCTCCAATTGCTCCAATTTTTACTTTCAGCAACACCGCACACCGCCAATCTCGTGCAAATGGTGTCAAATTTTTTAGGTTTTAAATAATGAAATTGTAATAACTATTTATTTAAATGAGTTGCTTTTAAAATTTTATCTTTTTTTACGTAACTAATATTAAATAAAGTATTGCATCACACGGAATCTTAAACTTTTCACGGCGTTGACCCTTTGGTTTTTGTCCATTTTAAACAGATTCTTTAAAAAAAATTCACTTCAATCACGTAAATAAAATCATATAATTATTCATTTTTTTATTTCTTTTTATTTCCGTCCAAGCATATTATAACTAAAAACATTGGAATGCATACTTTTTCAGATATCTTCTCACCCGTCAAAATTTATAAATAGGCATTTAAAAACATCTTATTTACTAGTTGATTTCGGTGATAAGAATATAATTGGCGATGTTATAATTTTGATATATTTAATTTAATTCATGATCTACAATATTTGTCTTTTTAATATTTCCGTGACTCTAATCATCAATTAAAAAAACATATTTCTTACCATTATTTTATTTTATATAGCTTTTTTCTATCTAATTGAGTCTTAACATGTATGTTGATGTGATAGGAGTTAAGACAAAGTTGTGTAGCTATCCAGAAACATTTGTTAGGGGGTGGCTATATAGTGTAGATGTCATGCCCACAAATGATAATATTAATCTTCTTTTTTGTTGGAAGCAACATTAGTTTTATTTATTCTATATCCTATCTTCTACACCTTAATTAATCATTGTCCTATGTCCCTTTTGTTTGGAAAAAAAAAACTTAGTGTTAGGTTATATAGCTACAAAAAGCAATTAATCATTTGAGTCATTCAACACTTCTTCCATGATCATATTCAATGTATGGTCGGCTTACGTTAATTTATAGCCATTGTTGATAGGAAACTATAGGAATCTATCTTTTGGTAATAATTTTATTTATAGTGACGAATATGAAAACTAATCATATACTATTTGTGATTAGTTTTTAATTTTGTTAAAACTTTATTCATTATAGTAACCAAATTGTAAATCACCATTTTAAAAGAAAAAAAATGTAAAATAGGTTAAAGTTATAAAATAAAAAAATGATTTTTTAAGTTATAAAAAAATTAATTAATTTGTATTGTCGTATTGGTGTGACACGTTAAGATGTAAATTATTATTAATATTTGTGGTTTATTGGTGTGAGTGAAACCCATTTACGCATTACATAAAATATAAGCACATGTATAATATGTGCGGGAAGCACATACGAAATTAAAATACAATAAACATGCATATGCAAGCAAGTACGAAACTATAACATAACAAATATTTGATCTGATCAATACAAAACAAATATGTTTAGAAACAATAATAATTAAAATTATCTCAAACCAACCATTTTTATTGATTTAAAACTAAAATATTACGTGGCAATGACAGGTTTTGGGAGATGGATACACACAATAAATACACATTACAAATTTTACAAATGTAAAGGTTTTGTTAATGTACTTACCTTTGAGTATTTTATAAACTTTATTTTTATATACTTATTCAACGTAGGCGAATAGAGAATTAAGATATCATTTTAATAAAAATATATTAAATTGATGTTTGTGTATTTTATTTTATATTATTTAACTTTCTTTTTTATATTTAACATAAGAATTTCAATGCATACTTAGATATTTATATATTTTTTTCTTTTAAACTCTATAATACACAAGTTTTAAAATAATCATGATAAAAGTTACCCACCCAAGTCAATAACCTTATTTATATGTTATAATGGTATTGAAATTAAAATACAGATGACGATTGATTCACTCAACTTGTATATATAACACTATCTTCAAATATTTTCTCACAAAGTTCATCAAAGTTATCATACGTCTTCTTTCTAGATTTGCGTATGTAGCTTTATCTTCCATTTTTACTATTATTACAAAGTTCATCGAATTTATCATTTGTCTTTTTTTTTGTCGTTTATTTATTTTTACCACATAAATTCAATAGATCATTATTTTTTTTATATTTAATTAAATTTTAAATATCTCATAAATTTTAGCATTTAATTAAGTTACTTATAAAAAGAGATTAAATAAATTAATAAATTTTAAAAAATTAAAATGAAAAAAATTGATCGACAAGTTAGATTGATAACAAAATAAAATATTAGCATATTTAAGTAAAATAAAAATATTTTAAATATACAATAATTTTTTATAAATAAAAATTTAATTAAGAATACTTAAATTTACCATATATTTAATTAAGTCAAATTCATAAATAATGGAACTATCTAATAGAAAAAGTGCGTCTCTAAACAGTCAAGTTGAGCCGCCGACATTGAAAATTATACGGAAATGATTTAAATGCAGCTGAGCTGAGGCACGTAATCCGTCATTTTTTAGAACGCCGTTTCTATTTTATGTGTCTTTAGAATTAGGAAAACGATTGCAGGTAAAATATATATCCCATTTCTTTCTTAAATTTTTTTCTGACGACAAATAATATTCTTTTTCTTAAATATATAGTTTTAGAAAGGAGATTTTGATTTCTATAAAAATTTTAAGATTTGGTTTTTAGTTTTCTTAAATTAAGTAGTTTTAATAAAGTTTAGTGTTTTTCTAAAGAAGTGGTCATGAAATTTAAAGAACTCTAGAAAAATTTCAACTTGCTTGATGTGAAATATAATTTACAAATCAAAAACATAATTTTAAACCTCGTATAACATAGATTTATTATATATATATATATATATATATATTAACCACAGAAATTTAATATATATTAATTACATTTATAATAATAATAATATATTTAAGTTAGATAATAATAAAATACAATAAGTAACATATAATTTATCAGAATTGATATTCACTTCACATATGTCACAGTACTTTTATATTAGAGTTAAAAGAATCTCAAATACTTAAAATGTTAACAAATTATTAAAATATTGATAACTATTTGTTTAATAGTTAATTTTAATCGCAACAATAACAAATTGAACGAAACAGTAATTGGAAAAAAAAAATTGAATAAGAACCATTTGTACTATTTAGACTCTTCATTAGTTTGACTAAAATGGTGATCTATTATTATTGATATAGTTATTGCACTTTATGTTTTACCAAACTTCTATAAGAATTGAGCTGGTTCTTGTAAAAGAGGCGTGATGTTAAATTTGAACGAATAAAATAAATTCGATCGTAGTTGCAATAGTAAAATAAATAAAAAGCAAAAAAGGTTTTTGAAATAAAATATTTCTTTTAGAAAATTGATAGAATAATATTTTATATATTTTTTAATTTAAAAGCAGTAGAATTTTGCTTTTCGAAATAATATATACGTATAAAAATTAATTTTTTAATTAATCGTAGAATTATTTTCCCTACATCCCTTGAACAACTTTTTCTATCTAAATTATTAATTTTAATTTTAATATTAAAAAAATTGACAGTTGCACAGCATGGATTCTATTACATTATGTATGCCGAAGAAAAATGAAATAAAAAGAAATACTTGGACACAAAAATTGAAGTGAAGAAGAGTAGATGTCTCAGTAACTGTTCACAATATTCACCACAGATGAATATGTTCCCAGAACTCCAAAAATGACTCCAAATGCAGTAATTACCACGCTCAGCGCAACCTGACAGTGTCAGAGTAAAGGTATAAGAAATGTGAAAAAGTAATTAAAAATTAAATGCAAGAACAGCAATATCATACCTGTGTATTCGATGCTTTTTTCCCCACAATTCTCATAAAACATAAACTCGGAAATATCACTGACTGTAAATTTTGCACTCCCAAAATCAGTTTGCAGTGAAATTCCTTACAATAATAATAAAGGAAAGAACAGTGGACTATAGACGGAACAAGCTCATGTCAAGTTGATGTCAACAAACATTATAGTTAAACATAGGTCTCAGTTTCTCAATTATATCAAACACTTCCTATTTTCCATAACGAAAATGGACCTTTCATGATTTAGTCATCATATATGTTTGAATGTGTTGTTGTGAAAGTGTTTGTGAGTACATTGAAGTGTTTGCTTACCACAAGTATAC